TCTGGTGATGCCTGCTTTTCTTTTATGTGCAGACTATGTTTTTGTCTCCCCATAGCCTCTCTTTTCAGGGTGTCTGGTTATGTGGTGTTCCTTCTGCTGCGTTGATTTAAAGGTACAATATACAACACTACCAGGTACAACACAAGAGGCACTTAACAGGAATGTATTTACAATATTAATAACCTCAAATAAAGGTGACCACTAGAGAAAGGCAACTTAGGGGTTAGGGGAGAAGGAAGAAAGGTAAAAATAAAATAAAGAAAATTTTTTATAAAATTAAAATGTAAAAAAAAATTAAGAAAATAAAATAAAAAAAGAAGGATAAAGAGATATAAAGAGAAGAAAAAAAGTAATGACAAAATAAAGTTGGAAAACAGGGAAAAAAAGAAAGGAGAGAGAGAGAGAGAGAGAGAGAGAGAGAGAGAGAGAGAGAGAGAGAGAGAGAGAAAGAAAGGGAGAGAAGAAGCAAACTAAAAGAGAAATGGGAAACAAACTATATATATGTGGAGAAAATTGCCATAGAACAACTACTGAACCCAGCCAATGCCAGTAACAATACTTGGAGATTAATACAAACTACAATATCCACTATTATTAAGTAAGTCTATGATATACAGAAGTAATAGAAACAAACAAAAACAGAGGATTTTAAAAAAAAATACAATGCAACAATAACAACACAGGAATAAGCATAACCATTTCACTAAAAAGCATAAAAATTCACAATAATCAACCCTCACACAAACAATGCGCAAAGGATAGAGGGGAGAACAGTTTTTGTTTTTTTTTAACTAGTTAATATAGTACAGAAATTGGTATTTATACACTTGGATCAGGGGTTGGAACTTAGGTCTATACGTATAGTGAGAGCTTTAGCAAGGGGTATACAGAAAGAATAGAGGAAAATCTAGAGCCGGAAAGGGATAGGATAAACCGTTGACTAAAAGGGTAAAGTTTAGTAAGAGAGTGATGGTGTAAAGGTCAAGTTGAGATAGGGTTGAATGATGCTAAAGTAGTGATTAAAATAGAATGGAGGTTATTCCCAATGTAAAATACAGAAAAAAAATAAAATGGTACTGGAGAGGAAACAAACAGACAAACAAACAAACAAACAAACAAGAAAAAACAAAGAACAAAACAAAACAAAACAAAAAAAAAAAAAAAAAAAGGAAAGAAACAAAAATTGCAAAATAGCAGTAGTAATAGTGATGATAAAGATTGAAAAATGTAATAATTGAAAAGGTAAAATGAAGTAAGGAAAAAAATAGAAAAAATTTTTCTTAAGTAAATGCTATAAAAAGTGAAAATTAAATAAAAGATGTAAAAAATGAAAATAAAATAAAGAATAGTAAAATTAGCATAAAAATGTCCAGTAGTGGTCATTCACTTCCTCTGTTAATGTATTTGGCACTCCTGATTCTCAGACCAGACAGTCTTGCAGTCCCCAGCATTCCACTGCACCTGAGTTTTGTAAGGTAAACCTTAATTTTAAGCAGGTTATATCTTAGTTATTTGTGTCCGTTTATTTTTGATTAATAAAAAGAAAAAAGAGAAAAAAAAAAAAAAAAAAAAAGAAAAAAAAGAAAAAGAAAAAAAAAAAAGGCAGTTTGTAATTCGGCTCTTAGGTGTCAGTGTTTCCGGTTTGACCTCCCAGTCTTTTTGGTTGCTCTGGCCTTCTTTCTCTATGGCTCTAGCTGGCTCCAGGACTATGTCTTCTGGCTCCAATCCCTTGTTTCCAGAAGGCAAATTCCCCCTACAATTTCCCCGGCTATGCCCCACTGGGCAGTTCTTCTCTAGTATTCAGAAGCAAGGGGATGAATGGGAACCGGTGCCAAGGTGTCCAGATGTTCCGCCCTTGGCCGGACAGCCGCTATTCTTAACACACTGTCCCTTGTCCCCTGGCGTTTTAAAAAAGCCCCTCTTCTGGGGGGGATTACTTCAAACCCAGCACTAGGTGTCGCTGTAGCCTTCTCTGGGCTCCGCTCCGCCTCCGCGGGCTGTAGTTCGTGCACCCGTCTACAGTGGAGGCAGGGCTGGAGCTCCCCGGCTGCCGTAGTGGAGGCGGGGCCGGAGCTCGCTGCCGCGGAACCCAGATCCCTTAGGCTATCCCCGCAAACTCTGACCTTTCCGTGGGTGACTGAAGATCTCCCCGGAATCCACGTGTCTGCGCAGCTCTGGGAGTCTCAGCTGCTCGATGGACCTCCGGGCTGTGCGTTTTCCACGCCTCAGAGAAGCTCTTTCCTTCCTGGCAAGACAATGCAGCCCTTCCTCCACGCCCGCAGCCCACCGCACGCTGCCCCCGCCGCCGCTGCTGCTGCTGCTGCTGCTGCTGCTGCTGCTGCTGCTGCTGCCGCGGCCGTCCTGGCCACTTGGTCAGGAAATCCTGTCCAGCGGACTCTCCCTTACCCTCCTTGAGAGCTCCGCTGTCCCTTAGCTGCCAATCAACTCTCCCTGAGCGACTCAGAAGCCCCCTTTATCCGTTCTGGGACCAGAGTCAGAATAGGTCCGACTGTTCGGTCGCCATCTTGTGGATGATCCAGCGGCTTTTAGCTCTTATCATCCATTTTGTTTGTGGGGATCCAGCTTCACTCTTTGCATGTGGAGATTCAGTTTTCCTAGCAGTGTCTGTTGGAGTCTGAGTTTTACCTCATCAAGTTTAATTGACACCCTTGACGAAAATCTACTTACTGTAGCTATATATGTCTATATATGTCTCTCCTAAATCTCTTTGATTACTTACTATAGCTATATATGTCTATATATGTGTCTATATATGTATCTAATCTCTTAGATTACTTACTGTAGCTATATATCTATATATGTCTCTCCTAACGCACGTGATGAACAGGCTTTGATTACTTACTGTAGTTTTATGGTAAGTTTTGAAATTAGGATCTGTGAATACTTGAACTTTGTTCTTGTTCTTTTCCAAAATTGTTCTATTTAAAGCTTCTCATTTCCATGTGAATATTGGTTTTTCTATTTCTACAAATGAATAACTTCATAAAACCTGTTTTTTGGATTCTGTTTGCTTTGGAGATTCAGCCATATTCATACATAAATATTTAGTCCTTTACTATAATGAAGTATCTGAGTAAACCTCAGTGTAATTGTCCTTTCTCCTATTGACGTACAATTAGTTTCCAATTTTTTACTTTAACAAGCAATGCCACAATAAATATTCTGTGCGTGCTACTTGTTTATACCTATGAAAGTTTCTTTGGGACAATAGTTTTTAGCCTGGGATCATTTGGCAATGTTTGGGATATTTTGCATGATCAAGACTGAGGGGAAGGGTGCTACTGGCATCTAGTGGATAGAGACCAGAAATGCTGTTAGTAAGCATCCTATAATACAAGAATTAATTTCCCTCTCTCCCCACTATAAAGCATTATCAAAATGGTCAGGAGTGCCAAAGTTGAAAAACACTGCTCTGGGGTGGGAATCATAAAGCTTAAGGTGTTTGTATCAAATGGATTTCTAGAAAACATGAAGAAAATATTATTTCCAATACAAGTAAAGATTTAGAATGTAGCCAAAGAAACCCAAGAATGTGTGCACCACTATTTTCACTGCAGCATTATTTACAATAGCCAAGATTTGGAAGCAGGCTAGTAACTGAGTGGACAAAAAGCTATGGTACATTTACACAATGGAATACCATTCAGCCATAAAAAAGAACAAAATCTTATCTTTTGTGAGAGCATGGATGGATCTGGAGAACATTATGTTAAGTAAAATCACATGGTACTTGTATTTCTCTTATTTGTGGAATCGACTGAACAAAATAAACTCACAAAATGGAGACTAACTCATGGATACAGAGAACAGACTGACAGCTGTGAGAGGGGGTGGGTGAAAAGAGGGAAGGGATTAAGAAAAAAAAGACTCATGGACACAGATAACAGTATGGTGATCGCCAGAGGGAGGAGGTAGAAAAGGGTAAAGGGGATAAATGGAGATAGAAGGAGACTAGACTTGGGATGGTGTGAAATCTATAAATATAAACAATTTCATGACTAGTGTGATTTCTCTTTTCCATGCTTGGATTTAGTATGCATTGCTGAAAAGTGGGTATTTCCTTCCATGTGGGTATTTCCTTCCATGTTTAAAACCACGTTAGTGTTCTGTTGATGAAATTAAAACTAATTACAATCTCCCTCTGCACCCCAAAAGGGAATATCTAGAAATAACATTTCTTTGGTATAAACTGGCAGTTATAAGGAATTTAATTCTCTTTAGCAGCATAGGTAGCAACGTTATCTAGAGTTAACAAATTAATTCACTTCACATCATCATTAACTTCATGAACTGAAATACAGTAATACTTACAGCCTGATTGAAAAATTAATTGTAAAGTGAGAATCTGCTTCAAAGTGTCACTTGTGTATGACAATGATAGATGGAATATTAGGCTGAAGATGGTGATTGAATGAGAGAAAAATATAGCATAAAAACATAGAATTTTTTTCCTGACAAAATGGTTGTTAAATATAGAAGACTTAAAGGTTTGCAAGAAAAATAATTTTTTTTAAAATCTCTAGTGTGATTTAAATTAGTTTTTAAATTGAAGACGGGGATCAACTTAAATTTTGAGATCCATTTTTAGATATATTAAGACCAATGGCTACCCTTTATAAATCTAATGAAAACTATGGCTTCAGGACAGTGCCATGCTTGTTTACATACAGTTTTTCACATAATTTTTGGGTGGTTTATACTCATTTCTGAAGCCCATCCACGGACCATTCTCACCCACCCTCAATTGCCCGCTATCCTGCAGCTTTCCAGGCTATGAACTTCGCTAAAAGCTTATTCAGTCTCTTAAAATATTTGTAATTATAGTAAAGACACAGCATTGTTTGTATGTTTTTCATCAAGGTTAGAAGACTCAGGTAGTTGGAATTAGAATTCTTTAAGTCTTTCAATGTTAAATGAATGAATACAGACCTTATTTTAATTTTATACCTATTACCTTCATTTTTCTTTCTTTTTACTAGGCATATGCAGCAGTGCTATGGCAACAAGCTAATGAAAACAGCCAAAATTCAACTGAAAAGGCATGTTTTGGAGCTGTCCTACCCGAAGAGAAACTTAATGACTTTCGTGATGAACAAATAGGACAGTTGCAGGAACTGATGCAAGAAGCCACTAAACCAAATAGGCAATTTAGTATTACTGAATCAAACAAACCAAAATGTTAGTCTGTACAATAAAGCTTAACAAAGCATTTCAAGTTCAGAACCCCTTATTTTAATTGTCATTGGTTTTAAAAATGTATCAAGTTTTTAGGCTTTGAGAGTGCCCGGTGTTAATGAAATATGTATTTTTTTGTTTGGGAATGTTTTTTGTTGTCTGCAATGAATGGATCAGCTCATCAGTGGACAGAATTTTAGATTATTAAAGTAATTAGCAGCACTTGCTGGATGGGGTTTGATTTTTGAACTAAATAAGGAAGAACCAGTGGAAGCTGGACAAACCTTTTGATTTTGGATATATAAATTTGTTTTTAATGCTGTTCTTGTTCAATCATTAGGCTCATGGTTTTGTAGTCAACAACACCGAGGGTTGTTTGCATTTTCTATTTGATCTCTAATTTATTCTCTTGTTAAGAGACCTGATAGAAGAAATACTAGAGGATCTTTGTAATGTCAATTAGATTCATACGAAAGTATCGAAATGGGCCGAAACCTGTTTGGCTCAGTGGTAGAGTGTCGGTCTGCAGACTGAAAGGTCCCAGGTTCGATTCCGGTTAAGGGCATGTACATTGGTTGCGAGCACATCCCCATAGGGGGTGTGCAAGAGGCAGCTGGTCGGTGTTTCTCTCTCATCTACGTTTCTAGCTCTCTATCTCTCTCTATCTCTCTCTGTAAAAAATCAATAAAATATATTTTTTTAAAAAGTATTGAAATAGATAAGGCTGGTAAGTTCATCTAGTCCAACCACGTTTTTCAACCTTGTAGGATTTATTTGATCAAGAGATGCATCTCGACTCTCAAGACTAGTGAATTTGAGACACAATGGATTTATTCCAACTAATTTTGTGTTTTGCAAATCTCACACAGAGACAAACAGAAATGCTGGGCTCAATTGGCAATTATGGCTTAAATAAATGTACTGTTGTTAAACAAATTTAAGATTAACTTGTGCTATTTTAGCAAAGAAATAGAGTTCAACACTAGGTACCTGAAATAGTACACCCTTTTCAAGGGTTTCAAATCATCTCAGTGCAAAAACTGATGAGAGCTAAATGTTGAATAATAGTTGCTAAGCAACTTTAAAAACAATTAACTATCTGCATAGTAATGACATATCTAGTGAATATTGTCACTCACATTAAATGACTGAAACGAGAACCAAGCACCAGAGTTGAAGAATAGTAAAATTCTAAATTCAGAGCTTCCTAGGGAAGATGTGGGTGCAGTCCACGGGCTAGTAGAGCTGTTTGCTGTGTTGCCCAGGCTGGAGCTGGTCTGTATTTGCTGGGCCAGCAGAAACCGCCCTCGGGAGGTGCACTGAGACTGGCAGACAGGCTTGCAGAGGAAGTTGGGGTATTGGGGTTCCACTAGGCAGTACTGCAGTTTGCAGCCTGGGGAAACAACTTGGGAAATGCAGGCAAGCTAGTGCCGGTGGCAAGCACACAGGATTCAGGGCATCAGGAACGAAATTGTAGATGGTGAGACGGTGCCATGGGGTCTGGATGCTCAGTGTCCATGTCAGGAAGGCCATACTAAGTGATCATGAGTCTAGGATACAAGCTTGACAAGAGACTCTACATCCTGGTGTGCTGCTGGAGGGAGTCCCACTGGATCTCCTATCACACGTGCCACTGACAGCCAAACAGCAGGAGCAAGAAATCCCTCTCTTGTAAAAACCCACAATGACAAAGTAATACTGGGCTCACCACAAAAGAGATTTAAGTCTCCGTTATCATATAGCTGGTAATGTGAGTTTCTTGGAGAGGAGAGGCAATAACTGGTACCCAGCACCTACAGCTAACAAAGAATGCTTACAATACGCCAGGCACTGGGATATTTATATGGATTCTCTCATATAAACCTTAACTTCCCTATGATTTGGGATGCTATTATTTTCTCTGTTATAGATGAATTATCTAATCTTAGAGAAGTTAAATAACTTCCTTGAGGTCAAGGAGCTGATGCAAGTGCTTGGATGGACCTTTTTAGTTTACCTAGCACCTGTATCTTAATCACTGCAGCATTGTACTTCCTTCCAAAGGAAAATTGAATTGGTGGAAGTGATAGCTGGATGCCTTGTTGGGTGAACACCTATTGGTTCCGTACTCACCAAGTGACCTTTAGACACTTGCTTTCCAGTGGTCTTACCTTCTCAGAGGGTCTCACAGGGTCTCAGCATGTCTGAGTCAGTTCCTCATGGATGAGCGCCACATACTGGTCATATGGTAGTCATGCCAACAGATGGGGCCTGCCCCACTCTAGTTCCCTCTGCAGGGAGACATGGAGGTGTGGCAGTGAACTAGATGATAGCAACTCTCCCAAAAGGAGGAGACTAGCAAATTTCCCGAGGTTCTGACATCACACAAATGGCTTTCAAATCTGAAAACTGAGTGTATCTTTCATATTCATACCCTGTTTAATAACCACACCAAATATCCTATTTTGTTCTTAGGATTTTGGCTTTAGACCTCTACACACTCCATTCTCTCCCTGTGTGTTCCATCACCTCCCTTGACTGTACCAAGTATTTTGATGATTCCCAAATCTCTCTCCAGTGCAAATCTATTCCTCTTAGGTTTCATACCTCTGATTCTCTCCACAGTTCAAAAGTGAATTCTTTTGATTGCCTTTAATCTGTTACCCTTCAGTCTGGGCTTCTTTTTATGAATTCAGCCACCCAGCTGGCATTATCAAAGACTGAGTATTGGCACTTATTGGTTTGGCTCAGTGGATAGAGCGTCGGCCTGCAGACTGAAGGGTCCCAGGTTCAATTCCGGTCAAGGGCATATACCTTGGTTGTGGGCATATCCCCAGTAGGACATGTGCAGGAGGCAGCTGATTGATGTTTCTAACTATTCTCCCTTCCTCTCTGTAAAACAATAAAAAATAAATTTATTTTTTTATTTCAAAGAGGACTGAGTATTGTCTGTGATGGCTTCCTTTTCTTCACCTTTTAAATTGGATTCTTGGATACAATTCTAATGGGGTTCCCCCCACCCAACACACAATTCTCAGATACCAGCAGAGTGTTCAAAAATTCAACTCAATTCTGACACTATTTACCAATAGATAATATTACACTCCACATGTTGAGGGTTCAGTCCTACAAGGCTCCCCCACCCCCACATACATACCTCAGATGCCAGCCACAAGCCCAGGCTCTTACTTATGCCACTGACCAACCAGCTAGGTTGGAGGTCCCAGTGACAAGTCCTCCCCTCTTGGAGTTCAATTAGTTTGCTAGAACGGCTCACAGAACTCAGAAAAACCCACGGATCACGAAATCACTTTCTTATTTCAAAGGATATAATTCAGGAACAGCCAGATGAGAGAGGCACAGGGCAAGGGATGTGATGTGCGACGGGGTGTGGAGCTTCTGTACCCTCCCTAGGCTCCCCCTTCCCCCCACCTCTGTATTCACCAACCTGGAAGCTCTCTGAACCCCCATCCATAGGTGCTTCTGAAAAGTCACCTCAGTCACATGGCAAAAAGACACCTTTATCATTCTAATCCCCTAGGAAATTTAAGAGTTTTGGGAGCTGTGAATCAGGAACTATGGATTAGACTAAATATCTATTTCTTATAAATCACAATATTGCTCCTCCACGTGAGATAAATTCCTTTTCTTACTTACTCAACTTTATGCAATCCATCACCTTTTAACTTTTCAAATTCAGAGGAATAGGATTCTCACTTTCCCTGAAAGAATCCTATATAATAAAAGGCTAATATGCAAATAGATCCAATGGTGGAATGACCAGTCGCTATGATGCACACTGACCACCAGGGGCAGATGCTTAATGAGGAGCTGCCCCCTGGTGGTCAGTACACTCCCACAGGGGGAGCGCTCCCACCTCCACGGCAGTGCTAAGGATGTCCAACTGCCAACTTAAGCCAACGTCTCCCGAGGGCTCTCGGTCAACAAGAGGGTGCAGGCTGGGCTGAGGGACCTCCCTGGGTGCACAGTTTTCGTGCATCGGGCCTCTAGTAGATCATAATGCCAGTAAGTGGCAAGCCCTGCTATTCAATGTGGTCTGCTGACCAGCATGACCTGCAACTCATTAGAAATGCAGAATCACAGGCCCCTACTGCATTTTAACCAGCTTCTTCCATGCACGTTAAGCTTAAGAAGCACTTGTACAGTGGTTGGAAATACAGGGTATGACATCAAAGGGACTTGGTTTTGAGTCCTATCTGCCATACTCTATATCTCTTCATTGGGCTCCCGTGGGCAAGTTGCTATCATCTTTAGGCTTAAGTTCTCTTATTTTCAATACATTGGGGGTGATGATACCTATCTCAGAGGTATTAGAAGGATGAAGTGAGGTAATGATTCTAAAGCTCTCAGCATGGTGCTTGGCAAACAGAAAGTAGTAAATAAAGGATAACCCCAACATCAACCATAGCAAACACCTAGGAAGAATTTGAACTTATGTTATTTTTGCTTTTTAACTTCTAAGATCCTTTTTCCCCTGTAAGGGAGGAAGGAAAGAAGGAAGAAAGGAGGGAAATATAAGAAAAACAGAAGAAAGTCTTATTCCTTGAATGAATAAGCATGCTAAAATTCCTCAGAGTGCTGGACGATTCCTCTCTCAGTGGAAGTAATTGGCATTGTTTCCTTGCAGCCTAAAACCCTGGTGACTCAATCTGCCATGGATTAACACTAAGAGCAGGGCTCATGTAGTCCAAGTGACCCTGTTAGCTACTCAATCTGACTTTCCTTTCACAGGAAAAAAATACAAAGGTCTTCAGTTAGTCCTATTAGTAGCAAAAGTCCCAGTGTGTCTGAGAATTGCTTCTCTGAGGGTTGAGGAAGCAGAGGTATTTTCTCACTGCCACCCTTCTTTCATTGTTTCACGGGCACCTCAAGGCTCGTCTAGGCATATTTGTCCTGAAGAATATATTTTGCCACCAAAAAAAAAGCCCTCAGACAAAAAGAAGGCACTGGTTGTGAGGGAACTGTCTGAAGGTGGCTTCCCAAATGGCCTGGGTGGATGGGGCCAACT